CTCCTAGAGTACAGAATGATTGGTGGGATTTAATAAGATAAGAGCACCTATTCCCATAATTTTCCACTTTTTCACCTTCGCAGGTAAATTCTGGTTCTACTCATAGAATAAACCAAACTAAAGTACTAAACCAGTCAGCATCAACCAGCAAGCAAACAAGTAAAATGATGCACATTCCCAAATAGAAACCTGAAATAATACTCTCATTTGCCCATTGACGTTCTGTGTCAAATGGTTAATATCTAACACCCGAAACAAATCACGTATAAGGCAAGCCATATCCAATCAACATAAAAAGCAATTCGGAATTATCAAAAACCAATTTGTGTTATGTAAATGCAGAAACAGTTTCCCCCATGAAATCCAATGTTCCAAAAGACATTCTGAAACTTCTGAAAATTTAGTTCTCTAACAATTACTATCATGTTTCCACCAATTGCAATTAAGTTTTTTGTCCTCACAAGCACTTAATATACAAGAAGCTAAAGGGGGCCAGTTACATATAATATACTAGTAATCCCAAAAGTTCTTTCCAGTTGCCTCTCCTAGATTTATAACTTGACAGGAAAAGTTCATACAACTTCGTCAACAACGAAAAGATCAGAAAGTTCCCCCCCAAAGTAGCTTAGTTCAATAAGAAACACATCCAATTATGCTCAAATTCATTCCATACAGGTACATTCAATTATAATCAAATCCATTCATCAGTTGTACCTTTAAAGTTTCATGCCACCCAGATTATACTGTGTGTGTTCCGATAAGTGAGAATGACTGGCCCATTCCAGACTCCTCAATGAACGTAGATGGGGACATAAGCCAACTAGGTTACAACATTTGACCATACCAGACCACACCTTTCAAGTTGCAGACCATGACCGTTACCGTACTAAGCGAATTAAAGAAAAATGAGGAGTATCAAATATGTTTGCCAAAAAGAAGTAACAACTCGCAGCACTAAAACTTCTATCAAATCCCTTTTCTTTCAATTTTATCAAGGTGGTACAAAAACGTAAGGTTAACAACCTTGATTAGAAGCTAGATATGAGGCATGGACAGAGAGCGAACAGGGACAATGTGGGAAAGAGTTTTACAAAAAAGTATAAAAGAAATAAGTCAGAAAAATCACGACAAATATACTCTTTATTATACATCATATCTTTATCTCTGTAATTATATTTCAATAATATTAATACTTGATCTTGACTTTGGCAACTGAATCTTTTGAATTTGAAAATTGATTATTTGTTGTTTCGAAGTTACTTCAAATTGAGTTTGTATTACCACCACCAACACGAAAGAAATATCCATGAACCAAAAAGTGTAGTAGACATAAAAACAAATGCATAAAATCTTTCAAAATATTATTTTGACTTCTTTACACTCATGTTACGGGTTCATGTGACAAATTAAAAGCAAGACAAGCTGCATGGCATGTTGGGCATGTCCGAGGCGGGTTGACCACTGACTCTCCTTACTAGGAGTATCCGTGCTTCACAGGACGGTATTGTTAGTGCATACAAAGGGAGAAGAAGAATGGTGACCATTAGAAAAAGCAAATCCAAACATAATTATGTTGCCTGCAAAACTCAGCATAATTTAAGAATTGCAATATCCTGCATGAAATCTACACTTGAAATGGGTCAAGGGGTTTTCATGAGCATGCCCATATATGCTTCTGAATAGTTAATAATAACATTTAAATTTATAATAGTTCTTAGTAATAAGAAGTTAAATTTAGCATATTTTTCATATCCCATGGTAAAATTACCTGAGCTTGGCGATGGTGTTTCAAGACGGTAAGATTCTGGATGTCTGCCAGGAGCATCTTGTTCAAAGTTTGAGGAGGAAGATTGAACTACGGATGGAGAAGCAGCATCCTGTGAGGTAAAGAAGGAAGGACTATCCTCCCGAGACAAATCAAATGCGTTGTTTTCACTTGGATCATCAAATAGGGAGATTCTAGGTTCAAAATGAGGAGAATCCAGCATTATCTCTCCTTTCTGACTGAGAAAGTTCAAACGAGGGTCACATTGAGTAAGTTTTTCAAAATGCTTCCCTAACAAGCCTTGAGGGCACTCCAGATAATGTCGCCTTCAAAAAAATCACAAGAAATAACCGGTATTAAAAAAAGATTGCAGCAATAACACCTAGCAGGTTGGAATAAGAGAAACGTACGTATGGAAAATGAAAACACAGACACCTGTAGCACAAACAGATATAAGATATAGGTATATACATATACACACGTGTGTGTGTATATTTTCATGTTTTGGACCCGCTCCCTAAAATTAAACTTGATGTTCCGTCTCTGTTTATGGAACGTCAGGGTGACACAATTCCTTGGTGAAATAGAAGGAACGTGCATGTGAACATATGTATATACGTGTGTAAGTATATATGTAAGTACACATACATGGATATCTTCATATCCCGAAAGGTTACAAAGTGGAATTTTTATAATCAGTAAAATATTTTCTAGCACCCAGTGAGCAGCAATTACAGGGTTTGCCTCATATTATCTGCTCCACGTCCATCCACATCAATGCAGTGAATTTTTTATTTTTATTTTTATTTTTTTTTGGAGGGGGGGGGGGGGTGTTGAAGCACATACATAATTAATATGAAACAGCAAACTCATTTATGAGCACTTATTTTCTAGACCCGAAGAGGAAACAGGAAAGAAAAAAATTGAAGCTTGCTGGCACAAAAACACAAACCAAGACTCAGTAATCCACTGCCAAGTAAAATGCTCATTGTACCTTTGTAGGCTAGCCTGTCCACCAGTAAAGTCTGATGTTGCCTGCCAAAGGGTGTGCTTCCTAGGTTGTGGATTAGTTTCCCTGAAGAAAAGAGGTTGTCTTGCCAACTGCATTTGTAAATGCACAAGTTATTGACAAAACATTAGTAATTGGAGACAAATTTATGAAGGTCGAACTAATAGCATAATGACACAGTTTTCTTACCACAACATCTAAAGTTCCGGGGCCATCATCTGGGCAATTAGCCTTGAGAGCCATAATATCAGACCATTGAATTTCTATTTTATTCTTGAGACCACCATCAAGAACTTCCCACACCAGCTTATGCTTAGCAAAATAACATTTTGCCACCAAATCACCTTCATATCTTGATTTATACTGCCAAAAATAAGGTCATTCTCATCAGTTCTCCCCAGCACACACATAATAATAATAATAATAATAATAATAATAATAATAATAATAATAATAATAATAATAATAATAATAATAATAATAATAATAATAATAATAATAATAATAATAATAATAATAATAATAATAATAATAATAATAATAATAATAATAATAATAATAATAATAATAATAATAATAATAATAATAATAATAATAATAATAATAATAATAATAATAAATAAATAAATTAATTAATTAATTAAGGGTGATATTCAACAACTGCAATGAGAGAGAGAAAGACTGAATTACCTAGAAAGTAAAATTCACCCTTTCCTAAAGAAAATATTTTCCTTGTTAATATGGTCACACGACCACGAAAAATATTTTCAATGAAAAAATTGTCATTAAAGTAGGAATTTTGGTGAAAAATGACATAACCAATCAAACACTAATAACAGTGAAAGTAGTCAAGTAAACCATATATATATTCAGAACAGTTTCCGCCGGATAAAATCAACGAAATCTGATTCATTAACAGCATTAGTTTACGCAAAAATTAGATAAAAACATATTCCACTGATAACTATCATACACACTCAAATCAAGATCCCATCAAAGTACAAGGAAAATAAAATAATAAAATAATAATAATAATAAAATAAAAACTACCACTTCTTTCAAGAAAATAATCCAGTTCAAAACCCTGTTCAAATTATGATAAGAACGATTTTTCCACTCCAATTTATTAAATTTTGCGCAGCAAACACAAAAATTAAAAACACTTATCGGTTCGCACGAGTACAGAGAAAGATACATAAGATGTATTTATATGTATTGTAAAATAGGGGAAATATACCTTTGGGCGCTTGTGGAATGGACCGTGCTCTTCTTCCAAGGAATCATCCACTTCGACTTTCACCGCCGTCATTTTTCCAGTCTCCGGTTCGGATTTGCCGTTCTTCATTAACTGAATCATCAAAAGAGTGACGGTACTCCTGGATTTAACTTTCGAGATCAAACTACGGATATTCTAAACCTAGCAAAATGGGGTAAATTCGGCTCGGATAGTCAACTCAACGAGTTATTGGTTTAGGCGATTGCTTTAGGTAGACCTGGTCTGTTCTGATGCATAAAAGAGAGCAAAAATAAATTTCATTCGGACGGCGACTGAAACGTGTCAGTTTTATGAGCTTTTGGTTTTCGGTGACCGTCATACGTGCGAGGGTATAATGGTCTCTTCAGAATTGAGAGCCAACAATTTGAAAAAGAATAATTAATTAATAATTTTCATATTACTGATATTTCAGTAGGATTGGGCAAAATCAAAAATCACTCAAATCGATCGATTCTATCACTCTTATCATTTGTGTTGGTTTTTGTATTAAATTGGATTGGGTTTAGTCAGATTCAAGTTTGATTGTTAAATTTTTAGATCGCTTTGAATTGGGTTGCAGGTTACCCATTAAAAATCAATCAATCCAATTCAATCCGACCAAATTAATATAAGATATTTGAAAAATAAATAAATAAATAAATAAATAAACTTACAAAACCTAAAGAATCCCTAAAATCGACTAACAACTTTAGTCCTCACTCTCTCCTCTCCTCTCGCTATCCATATATGTCCAATTTACCACTGCTTTTCGTTTTCTATTAATACATGGAGGCCTATCACCTTCGGTTAAAGCTCCATTTTTGTCAAAATCCCAAACTTATAATAATAATCTAATAAGTTAGCGCTCCTCCACAAACTTTACTCCTTTTGGAGTTCATCTGCAAGTGCGATAAATAGGCTGAATCAAGAGCTTTTGTGACAATTTTATTTTTAATCTACTCTGTAATCGGGCACCTTCTGATGTTAGCCATCATGTCTTAAAATATCATTATGTTTATTATAGAGGTGATGAGGCTTGCAATTGGATATTTAATTTGCATGGGTGACGATGGGGATGTGATGGTGGAGGAGGAGAACTCAACTTGATTGTTTTTGAATCTTTGAAAACCAAAAATTGACCAAGTGAATCCAAACCTACCTAAGATTGGTTGGTTTAGGTTGGATCGTATTTCAACCCTAGACATATTGGTTTAGTTCGATTTCTCATCAAATCAAACAAGTCGGGTTGGATTTTGACAAGACCTAAATCGACTGTGGTGTGTTGAAGGGACAAAGAAGGTCACAGTTATATGTCTTGAAGGATTCTACAGAATCTTTGGATACTGATTAGCATAGGTACTCAAGTGGATATTTAGTTTGGTTCAATATTGTTGGAGTTTGGTTTAGGATCTATGTTAAAGAATATATTTCAATTGAGTTCATAAGTTATGGATAATGTCGTTTTGTCACTATTGCCAACGGTGCCACAGTATTCAATTGCTCGAGACAGACCAATCATCCAATGGAGATATTAGGTATCCACGTAGGTGCAAGAATGTTGATTTAATTGTTTGTGGTATTGAGTCTAGCAAAAAACCTTATACAAAAGTAGTTAGTTGTGCTGATTTTGTTAAAATGTATGCTTTTGCCTTTGTGATTTATGAATTATTTGTAATCTTGTTGCTCGTGGTGATAATTGGAACAATTTTGGTACCTGAGATAATCCTATTAAGTGCTTAGATTCAATTGAGTTTTCAAATCTTGAGTTTGCCCTAGCTAGCTTTGTAAAAGAGGTGGTGAATTTTTATGTCAAGAAATTTTGGAATCAAGTTCTATTCCTTGTAGTGAAATTTGTTTCCAAGTGGAGAGTTTTTGAAGTTTGTTCATGGCATTTGAATTTGATTTAAGGTGGAGATTTGTTAAACTTTGACCCAATTCAGTTAGTCATTGGTAGATTTATTGAAGTGGGCCTTGCACAGGTCCAAATACGGATCAATGAGGAAAAATTAAGTGTCGGTGCTAGTTGCGCCAGTTAGCCGCTAGCTACACCACTCGGCCTATATGGTGCAAATATTTACTAAAATAGGGCACCTGAACGCACCTTTGTAGCTCTCAAGCATTGACCTCGTTGTGAGCTACCCGCTCGCTTGGCTGCTCGAACGCTACGTGGTGCTTGCTTCTCATCAAGCCACTTTTCAAGCACCAATATCATCTAGGAAAAACTTGTTCCCTTTATTCCATGCATTTTGAAATTTCCTTTCCATCTACAATGCTATTGTTAGGGTTTTGACATGTACTCTATATATAGTTGGTTCTTCATTACACGTTTAAGAAGTTGAACATAAATTAGACAATATTGTAAACATATTATCTTTGTATTCTTTCTTCATATTAAAATAAATTTTCCTGATCTCTGCCAAATTTCTTTTGTTTTTCTTCTTGTATTGTGATCTTTTTTTCATATTGTACCATATAATCTCGTCCTTAATTCCTAACAAGTACAAATGAAAACGACTATTAAATGAGCAAAACTATAGCAAGTCCATCTATCGTATTCATCTCCATCAATATCTAGCTCGATCAATCTGCTGCTAGAATTGTATTTGCTACTGGTTTTCAGAGCTGGCCCTGAGGCCAAGCCACCTAGGCAAACGCCTAGGGCCTAAAAAATGTAGCTTGAGCCTAGGGGCTCAAAATTCATACTAGCACCAATAGAAAGGGTTAACTATTCCTTAATCGCCATTGTTGTCGGGTGTTGGAGTTGCAATCGGAACTCGGAAGAGGGAAGAAAATTGAGGAAGATGAAATGCCAGGGTTAGGTATCTAGGTTTTTCTTCTTTTTGTTTCTGTTTGGGCTAATGAATATTAACATGGGCCTTTTTTTGTTCAAAATATTAGCCCAAATCGTATATATTACTTTTATTACAATTTACCCCCAAACCAATATCCAGCAATCCATTTCTCATTGAAACCCTTTGAAGCGATTTGTGCGAACTCTGAACAGTGAACATGGTGGGTGTAATTTCTCTCTCTCTGTGTAACCCAGTGTTTAAATTTTCATGGCTAAATTGACGATTTTTAGTTTGATGAATTTTGTTGCAATGGGAGAATTCATCACAGCTTCCTCAATGGGTTTCAGCCCTCTTTACTGACAAGTTCTTCAACGCCTGCTTAATTTATGAGGATGTTAAGAAGAATGAAAAGAATGTCATTTGCTTGGAGCCTAAAACTGCTGTGAAGTGAAAGCATTTGCCCTCACTGCCTCTCTCTTCATCTCTCCCTCCGCCTCTTACAAGTTCACTTTTCTTAATTCTCCTATAGATAATTAATCCCACCACATTTTATTTTCTACTCCACCTTTGCTTTGTTGTTTTACGGCTTGTGGGAGAGAGTTTGAGCTATTAATCAACTGAGCAAAAAGCTATCTAATTACTGTTGAAAGGCAAGTTTTGAAGCATCCTATGATTCTTTCAAGTTTCATCTGTGTTATCAATCATATAATTCATGTTTTTATTTATTATTTATGAGTTATGATTTATGACTGAGTAATAAGAATTGTGAATTATGATAAATAATTTACGTTTTATTGTTTTATGAGTTAATGATTTATTATTTATGAGTTTTGATGCATTGCTACTAACTGTTGATATTTATTTATATATTTAAGTTTGTTAGGCTTGTAAAAAAAAAATTACTTTCAAGGGCCTCGTTATGGTTAGTCGCTTTGGACTCCAAAAGTTTCAAGGTCGGCCCTACTAGTTTTAATGGTTCTTCTCTTTCTTCTTAGTAGCAATAAGTCTTACATTCATTATAGCAATGCCATTCCTTGTAGCAGTGCCCATCTCTTTGCCAGAGAAGAAGTTTGTATCAAATAAAAATTATTCTCCTAAGAAGATTTCAACTTTTTCAGAAGCTCCTTCACATCAATAGCAAATCATTTTCTGCTTCCTATTCATTTATAGCAACTTCCTTAAGACCGATAGAAGCATTCGAGTTGTTGGGTTGATCCTCGTGTTCCTTAGCCTACTTTGAAACTCTATCCTTCTTTTTCTTCATTTTTGTACTTTTAGATTCTGTAGGAACATTATCCTTCTTCTCGGCATCTCCATTCATCTCCCATTCTTTCTTTTCTTGTGTAGCATCTACAAGTGCACAAAGCAAATGTACCTTGAATTTGAATGATGGTTAGTTTAAAATGTCTATACATTTTTTTCTCTAGCAACTGTATAGTATTCTGGTGACAAGAACAATGTTAGTTGACATTATTTTCTTATTGTGAGCTAATGAGTACAATATATACCACAATAATTATGCATCTATACCAAATAAATAAATAAGTAAAATCCAGATCGACACTGTTAATAAATTTATCCAAAAATTTCTCGATCCTAAATAACTATGATAACAATAAATGGAACGAAATAGCTAAAGCATTTCACAAACAAGTCCTAAAGGAACATATTAAGTTGATAATGCCATATGTTTTAAAAGAGGCACTGGAATATTTCACATCCTTGCCCTGAGGTAACATCCATCGCCCCATCCCAAATACCTTGTTACATTGGGAATCTTCATCCCTTTCAAGGTGGAGCTCTATAGATATGGGGTTTAGTGGGCTTTTTTTGTCATTACTACTTAGACAAACCGATTTCAAGGACAAGATATGATAACTGGAGGATGTTTGGTTAGGATTAAAATTATATTTTTTAGTAGATTGTGATAGAAGTTTTTAAAATGTGTGGTTGAAAAGTTGTGAGACCCATGAAAGATGCTGTAAATATTGATTGTTTGACTTTGACTTAGATTAAAATTAAAATGATTTTAATCCATTCCAAACATACTCCTAATCAAAGATTAAAGAGAAGAGTGCAACCAAAAAAAAGTTGAGAATATAAGTACAATTAAGAACAAAGAATAAAGAATTTAATTACAAGAAAAATGTCGTGCAAGAAACAAAAATGTTATTGTGTATATAATTATCCTTTGAAAAATGTATCTATTACTTATTAGAAAGTCTATTCCAACTTTTTTTTCCAACCTTTATTAATGAAAAAAATTTATTTATTCTATAACAACTTATTTATTTACTCATAAGTAAATTTACAGCAAAGGGTTATATGCAGCAAAGCTAGTGGCAATCCCAACACACATAATCCTGTATACAATCTAGATGAATGGTGTCGAAAACCAGCATGTAAGAAGAACTAAAAATAGTAGTAAATATATAAATGGGCATGGTTGATGCTATTAATTCTACTTTTTTTTAATCAACTCTAAAGCGTATTGAAACTTTTAATTTCCTGGTTGAGTTTTATCCATTTTTCGTTTAGTATATATCCATAGCTTAATAGCGTCGAAAGTCGTATTTTCAAGCTGTGTTGAGTCTCATTTTAATAGTATAACTTGACATGATCTTTCAAAGTTCGCAGAAGTTGGGCTACATTATCACAATATAGTGATTGTAGAGTTGGTAATGGGGCAAGTCGATGTTGACCATTACCACCCCTTTTGGAATTTTAAAAAAGGAGGCGGGTTATAGGGCTATACTGAGAATTAAAAAAATCATAATTTACTATCTTGGTTAATTAATTAATTAAAATTTAGTATTATTATTCTTTTTAGTTTTGTATAAAATAATTCTAGGCAAGTTCAAGGAATTTGGGATCGGGACTACTATCTGCGTCCCCTCTTGTTCATTGTTCGAGATGGAAAATGTGGCGGGTGTAAATTAAATTTTGTCTTCCTTGAGTGAATGAGAGATTTTATTAAATACTAGACTAGGGCATACATGCATCATAAATGTGTATTTGTTAAGAATTATTTTTAACTTTTATGTTAATCGGCTAATTTATAAAGAACCATGAACGTATTAAGAAATTTATGGAGTTTGTCGGTTTAATTATTTTACTCAAAACAAGATTCATTTCTTATTTATCGAACTTAAAATAAATTTATTTTTTATTAAATTAGCATTAGCTCATAAACATAATCGTTTTTATTTGCAAAATTACTACATCAAATCTAATTAAGAGAAATCAATATTTGACAATTTACTCTAATGGAGATTGATAAGTATTGAATAATATTGAGAAATTCAAAAACAAATTTTTTTTAATTGATATAAACATGTAAATAGTAAAATGGAAATAAATTATAAAATGCAAGTGGATAGAGGGTATTTTGGTCATTTCCCCTCTAATGCGATTCTTTAGCTACCATTTGGTCTTGTTAGGTGTACTGAGGATAAAGTGTGGGCCCAAATCAAGAAGCTTCCCATCGTCCGGTTGGTTGTCAGACACGTGGAGGAATCTGGCTATGTCTTCCTGACACGTAGGAAGTGAATTGGATGCCATTTTAAAAGCATTTTTTATTTTATTTATTGTGGATAAGGATTATTGATTGCTGTTTTGTCGTTTTGTTTGTCTTGACGAATAAAGTCATAAACACGGCTGCACCATTTCTGATATACTGGCGGACTTCACGACCTTTCGCTGTCGTTGTTGGACTATGATTTTACGCTATTTTGAACATGTTCATTAACCGGTTGTTTGATAAAAAAAAATTTATGAGCCGTTTGGAAATGATTTTGAAAATTAAATTTTTGATCGTTAAAGAAGAGGTGGGGTTTAGATGTGAGAGAACAAGTCAAATATGACGGTTGAAATAGTGAAATAACGATCAAAAAATCAATTTTTTAGCTGAAAAAATCGGGCCCAAACAGGCCGTTATAAAAGTAATAGATTTTGAAAAATGAATGAAATTAGAAAAAATGTGCATATGACGAAATGTGGTTTTTGAAATAATGGTTGGTTGTCATGGTAACAACTTTTTAAATTTTTTCAAATAGACACTAAGATGTTCGAAATATTTTTGACATGTTTAAAGTATCATTTTTCAACATACTTTCAATTGAAATTGTTCTGTTTTTCCCCCTTTTATCAAATTGTGGTGCGGGGCAAATCAATTTTGAGCGGGGTATGAATGATAGCAATTTAGACCATATTTGATGTCCAATATTTTTATTATTATTTTTTATTTTTTGTAGAAAATAAGTTATGGTTCGGATTTACGTGCAAATATTTGATTGTATAATTATTTAGTTAAAAATAAGTTTTAGAAAAACATGAGTTTGAGTTAATAAATGACAAACATGGGCTTACCATAAAAGATAATATTAAGCTCTTTAGATCTCTATTGTGTTATATGTCTTCATAATTGAATGGTAAATTTGACATTAGAATATGTTACAAAATTTTGTACCATAGTTGTTAGATCTGACCCGAACATTATAACAGGTTAGGGAGTTAGTAATTCAATTGTAACCATTGTTCAATCAATGGATCAATTCATCTCAAATATATTATTAACTATTTATTGTATAATAAAATTAGCACATTCTTTAGCATCCATTTTCAACGATAAATAAACAATTAGTGACTAAAAGTTACTTTATATGTCAAAATTCAACAAATTGCTTCATATACTACAATAATCTAATTGTGAAAATAAATCAAAAACTAATAGCGGTTCATGGACAAAGCACTTGTTAACAAAGTAAATTATTTGAGATAAAGTTATTATTTTCTCTTTGAACAAGGGTTAGAGCACATCTATGTTGGCATTTCAGACATAAATTCTACGGTTTCTTCGTCATGTACCAATGATGGAGTTTTAATCATACTAAAATTCTCGTTCTCATTGTTTGTATCACTTTTTATTTTTATATTCATTGGCATCATTTTCCTCACGATCAAGATCATCAAAGCATAATTTAATGGCAAAAAATTTTAAAATTGACGTTATATCAAACGTACCTTAATAAAAACAAGAAACAATTACCATCATTTTGATTGTGTTGTTTAGAACATGCACCTAAATCACGATAAAATATCTCCAACTCTTCATCTACTAAATTCGGTGTCTGTCCTCTAACACCTAATTGTCATAAATGTCAAACATTTCAAAGTCGATATGATAATAATTTTAACTCTTGAAGTAATTCCTAAATATA